GGCGTAGCCTACCTTTAACTTTTTAGTACTTGTTGTTTTTCAACTTACTTTTTTTTTTTTTAAAGATTTATTTTTGGCATTTTCACCTTTATTACGATAGGACAGATCAGAGTTGACAGAAAGCGAAGTGGGAGAGAGATAGGGGCAGGATCGGGAAAGGTCTTCGAGTCAGGATTCAAACTCGGGACATCTGTAGCGCAACAGCACTGTATGTCAGTGCGCTGCCCACAAGGTTTTCGGCGCCTCAACTTCATAATTTGTAAAAGTTGTGTTAGTTTGTGAAGATTATCCTGATGAACAAAACATGTAAGAATAATACATTTTTGTTGACCACAGAGCTTATTTTCTGCAATAATCCAAAGGCGAATAGGAAAACACCATTAGCTTATATATATATATATATATATATGGTTCCAGAGTAATTAGTCACATGCCATTCATTAATGGCTCAAAATAAAATATCTGAGTGGGGCATTCGTTAGCCTAGCAATTGACATTGAGATGTTTGGGAATGCTAATGTATAGCTTTCTCCAGGAATCACAGACCTCCTTGGTTTGAACAAACAAAGCCACAGTGTTTACACTTTTGAGGAAGCCTACCTACTTATAGATTACTTATAGCTGACTGAGCATACAAGCTGAGAAAGGTGAAAGTAAATGAATGTTCACGTTTAGTGAGTGATCAGGAAGACTTTAAAACAACAGCTGTCCAGACACGGAGACTGCTTACTATTTATTTGTTTTGATTAGCAGCATTTAAGCTTGTTGTGTCTGAGAAAAGTCCGAACTTGCTAATATTCAGCGAACCACAACCGCGTCTTTCCAAGAACAGAAATGTGAGCTCTCTGCTCCTCCTCCAGACTGACTAACACGCCGTTGGTCAAATGGAAAATTAGCTGGTCCAGTTTTATGGGGTGTCTAGACATGTGTCCAGTGCAGCTGGTATCTATTACCCCTGTCTTAAAACACACACACACAAACCCTGCCTTTACTTCAAATATGATCCTTTCATGTTGCTCAATATATGAGTGATCTGATCACAACTTAAGCTGCATCATTAATTCATAATTTCCTTCCAGTTAGTACGGCACTCATTGGATTCCAGATAACTCTTTACAAAAGGTGAAACCAAACAGGGCAAGTCACAGCAGTGGCCCTTGATCCCTCAACTTTTGCATTCCAGCTAGGAAACACATGGTCAAACAACTAATGCTTGCATTAGCTGTGTGTGAAGGATCTGAGCACACACACACACACACACACAAAGATGTAGAGAACAGGCTTGTTTTAATCCAGTTTGTCTCTTGAAGAAGAAAAAAGAAGCTACACTGTATGTCATTTCTAATGTCCTTCTATAAATCTATCATATAGAAAAAACACATGCTGTCAAAGACAGAGAAATCTAATTATGTTCTTCAGCTAACCAACATTTTACGTGGTTATCTATATTGTAATTATAACCTCCAGTCATGTTTTTTTTTTTTTCATAAAAATGATGACATTGCAAGCCACGCTGACTGATCGCAAATATTCCAAATGAAAGATCTACGAAAACATTAAGGCATTAAAAAATTAAACACGATTTAAATAAAGCGATTTATCAAATGTATACAGTATAGTTAACAAGGAAAACAAATATCTTTAACTTTTTGTTTTTTTTAACTTCGTTTGAGGATTCAATGTTAGACTCTCAGAATCTGGACTTCAAAACGCTCTTTAAAGTTCAAAACATGAAAACTTATATCAAATCGTAAGAAAAGTTATGAGTTCCGTTACCTCTCAGATCCACTGGCGTTATCTTAACCTTGCCAAAAAAAACGCCGAAATCATGGGTCTCATGCCTGATGGAAAGCAGCCGCGGACCTGAAAGGGTTTGTCGTCAATAGATGCGCAGAAACGCAATCAGCTGCGCAGTAAGAAAGTCACTAAACCAACGTCACATCTGCTGGAGGAGAGGGAGGGGAAACATCTCCCCCCGTTGGTCCTTGCATTCTCGCTCTTTTCACTAACACTTTCAGTGTAGCCTGTATACAATAACCAAGCCTCTTAAAATACATGGAAACCTTTAGAATTAAATTTGGGTAGTGGATATTATTATTCTTGAGAGTTGTGGTTTTGACGTTCTACCATCTAAATTTTAATGGATTACTATATATACACTATATAGTATAGAATTTCTATATTTATTCTCACACACACGTCTGGTCAGCTATCCTTGTGGGGACTCTCCATAGGCATAATGGTTTTTATACTGTACAAACTGTATTTTCTATTGCCCTACACCAACCCTACCCCTAAACCTACCCCTCACAGGAAACTTTCTGCATTTTTACTTAAAAAAAAAAAAAACCTCATTCTGTATGATTTATAAGCTTTTGTACCCATGGGGACCTCAATTTAGGTCCCCACCGTGACACGAGTCCCCATGAGTCTGTGTGTATTCAGGTTTAAGTCCCCACCAGGATATATAAACCTGTACACACACACACACACACACACACACACGTTTTCCGTTTATTTTGACCATAATTGAAACATTGCATTGAATAGCCTAGTTGTAGTTCTTAAATTTATGTCACATGACTATTTAAAATGAACTAGTGTAGGCAAAAAAAAAAAAACTATCATATTTACACATTATAACTTGTCACAGGACCTAAGAGCTTTCCTCTTATATATTCTTGTAAATTTGAACCCACCATCCTGAATGTAATAATAATAATAATAATAAATAAAAAAGATCTTGTTTGGTCTATACGTTTCAGCTATCCAAATACAACATTACTGAATGTTTATCATTTATATTCAAATGTGAAATAATGAAATGCCTTTGTTTGCATCGACCTTACCTATCTCCTTTAAATAGACTAAAACATTTAACATGCTGTTGAGTGTGAGCAATAAGCAAAAAATGAACTAGTGTAGGCAAAAAAAAAAAAACTATCATATTTACACATTATAACTTGTCACAGGACCTAAGAGCTTTCCTCTTATATATTCTTGTAAATTTGAACCCACCATCCTGAATGTAATAATAATAATAATAATAAATAAAAAAGATCTTGTTTGGTCTATACGTTTCAGCTATCCAAATACAACATTACTGAATGTTTATCATTTATATTCAATGTTTGCATCGACCTTACCTATCTCCTTTAAATAGACTAAAACATTTAACATGCTGCTGAGTGTGAGCAATAAGCAAATATTGCATGATTTGCAAATACGCAAATGGCAATCAGGAGCAACAACACATGAAATTTCTTAAACACTCATTAAATGTTTTTTCTTTTTGTATTTTATCTGCACATATGAACACTTTCCCTGCACCTCAATAAACAAGCACGAGTCCTACTCACGACATACAGAAGAGGAGACAATGTTTTTTTTCTTTTTCTCTCAGAAAAGTAGGTCATGCTTATGATGAGGGTTTCCACACTTCTGTAGCTACTCATGATGAAGCTGCCAAGTGTCACTTAATACTCCGTTTTGGGCATCTCTGCCAAACCGTTATCATGCAGTGTGATTTATAACATTGTACCATTTTTTATGTAAACTCCATTACAGCCTACCAATGCAAAAACCTCATCAGAGCACTCAACATAAAAACATCAATTCCACTTACATTGCTTTAAACAAATCATTATTAAAGCTCAGGGCCAGCACACACATGAAACAAATAACTGGTTTTAGGTGAGAGATGTGCCCTGACACATAAAATCACTAAATGGGTGGGTAAAGTTTGGCACCATTTAACACCGCTCCTGCGCATGACAGAAACTGACTGTATACATTGACTATCACCCAACAGCACAATATATTTTTTACACAATGTTACTATAACATTACATACACAGAAAAAAAAAATCACCCCTCTTCATTCAATAACAATGGAGACCTGAAACGAAAGGCATTTACAAGGAATAGTTCACCACTAAATGAAAATTCATTCTTTACTCACCTTGTGTTGTTCCAAACTTGAATGACTTTCTATCGTCCTTGAAATGTCTAAAGCATAAATAAAAATAAAGACGCTTAAAAGGTTCTTCACGGTGATGCCATAGAAGAACCATTCAGTCAAAGGTTCTTTAAAGAACCATCTCTTTGTTGCCTTTTTATAATATGAAGAACCTTTTGTGAAACAAAGGTTTTTCAGATGTTAAATGTTCTTTATTGAACCATTTAGACAAAAAGGTTCTTCTATGGCATCGTGAAGCACCTTTATTTTTAAGAGTGTAAGACTTGTTTGCTATATTTCATGTCTTCCGATGTGAGGAACAGACCAAAATGTGAGTCCTTTTTCACTGATAAACCTTCCCGTCAGTGAGCTGTTAACCTGAGAACTGCTGTAACTGGATCATCAAGTCTGCAAGTTAAACAAATCAGTCTGACTGTAAACACATCATTTACAAGATCAACGAGAAAAGAAACCCCTCAAAACACCAATTAACTCAATGATCCAGTTCTTGAGGTCAGCTGACTAAATCAGTGAGCTTATGCAAGGGCTCTATGGTTAACAACAAAAAAATGGTCAGTAAATAACAACTTCTTGTGGCACCAGAAGACTTGAAATGTAGCACATAAGTCATACAGACTAGTTTTCGGTGCTTTTATTTCCGTCCTTCTTACAAACTTTAAACTGTTGCTGTATGGAAAGAGCTGCATGAAGATTCTTCAGCAAAGTCTTTATGTTCCATCAACAGCTCAATGGTTTGGAACAACACGATGGTTTAGTTAGATGGTTAGTTTTGGGTAAACTATTCCTTTTATTACTGCCGCTTGGAAGTATGACGACCATTTCTCCATTTGTCACAGAAACGTCTGCAGAATACAGTAAGCTACAGTAAACTAAAGTATTGAAATCATAATCTAATGATGGAAAGTAAAACAAACCAGCCCAGATCTGAACCAGTTACAAAACCTGCAGGTTACAACCCTCTCAAAACATCAACCAATCATAAAAAGAGCAAAGAACTCATGGCTGTTTCTTGATTGCATGAATATTCAATATAATTTGTGCATTGCTTTCCTAAGAAAGCGTTTACAACAGCTGCAAGAACAAATCCTCTGAGGTCATATAACATTCCCTTCATAAAAACAGGACAAAACAAAACAAAAAAACACACAGAGCTCATGGGAAAGCTACGTTTTTTTTTTCTCTGTACACCATTAAAAGTAGTTTAATGGTAGTGGGTCCACAATGCTGGGTGAGACACGATACACTGTGACTTCCTCCTACATCCAATGATCAATGCACAGATTTTCAGCATGTGTACAGACACAACTTCATACTGTGTATGCTGTAGTGATTCAGGAAGGGGTGAGAAGAAAATACACAGACAGCGCTCTGGGTGTTACATTCACACAGCTTAATCACTGATTGGACGAATGGATGGTCTAGCTCTGTGGTGCAGCTCCAGAACGTAACGGTGAAACAATCTCTTGGTCTATGCTGACAGGCATGAGGGTTCGGGGCTAGTTCTCTTCCCATTTCAGCAGTGAGTCTGGAGGTCTGGGGTAATAACCTGTCGTGATGGGCTTATCCGAAGAGAATCTCTGGAACTTAAAGTCTAGAGGAAGATCTAGAGGAGAGATGGAACAGGTGGACGTTTTACAGACAAACTATAAAACAAACTATATGTACAATAATAGGACCAATAAATATTTACACTGAAAAAGTCTTAAGGCTGAAATATTTAATTTTAATATTAAAAAAAAAAAATATATATATATATATATATAAATATATATACTAATGATATTGCTGAATAAATAATTTTGCCTTTCTTTGAATCTTTGAAATGGGCCAAGTTATATAAATGTACTGATAATCTAATCAGTCAAAACAGTTTTTAAAATGTAATATTACATGTAATCATTTAGAACACACTTTAATTCAAAATGATTTAAAATAAGAAACACCACAAATAATGTTTTGTACAAAGCTCAATATTTGCAGTGTTGACCAGCATCAGACTGCCTGAACCAGTAATTTTCTAACGCTTTTCATCTCAGACTTTTGGGTCGCTCTGTATATATTGAACACGCCACTGTAGAAACAGTTACCAGGGGTGTAATCGATCTGCAAAGTCACAAAGCACAAGTCACATTTGGTGCTTTGTAACTTTGTAGATTGATTACATGCACAAATACCTACAACACACAAAAAAGAAAGATCCCCTGGAAGTCAATTAAGAAATTAAGATTAACCAAACTCTACAAAAGATACTCAAAGTCATTGGATCCTCATTCTCCCATGCTGAGGCTATGCTTTGGAATAAAACGGCGAGTCTGACGATATTGAATATCTGAAACTTTTCAATTAAATCTTAAAACAAAACGATACGATTTTGAAAGTTACGATGTACCATGATGACATTTTTAAGATTGTGCACCATTTCTAATTCAGAAAAATTAAAAAAAATAAATGCAAACTGGAAGTACCAGTCTCAGACTTTTGGACCCCTCTGTAGGTTTAATACACTTACCAGCTATAGCCTCAATGCTGGGTATAGCCATGGTGCTGTATGTGTGGATACTGTGGCAACACCAGGTGAGACTCCGTGTTTCCTCTCCTTCATTCTTTTGCACATCCACAAAATATGAGCCCCACTGGTTTGATACAGCTGAAGGAGATTTCATTCCTTGATCCTAAGAGAAAGATTATAAGAAAGAAAGAACACAAGGTCAGTCAACCTTGAAAAACATTACATAATTATATAATGTTATATAATTTAGCATTCTCAATACTGAATCTTTAGAGAGAGTGTGTTGAGATTTGTGTGATATAGCCTTTAGCTTTAAAAATGGGTCAAAGGTCTGTTCTCTTCTGGAAAAAAATGCTAAATGCAAAAAATTATATAAACCTGTTACAATCGCCAGCTGGAGTGCCCACGAGCTCCGCTAGAGGGCACTCCATCCTGTACCTTTGCCATTCATACCGGACTCCATTTCCCATAATCCTTTGCCTGGACTCATCAGATGCATCATCAGTTCACAGCTGTCTCATATTAGGAGGACTATAAAGATTGCACTCACACATCGCTGTTTACTGTTACCCTGTAACGTTTTCTGGTCTTCTGTGTTGCCTTGCCTTAGTGTTTTTGATCTTGGACTGTTATCTGTTTTGTGATTGTGACTGGCATCCAATGTGGAAGATCCACCATTGGTGTCTGTGCGAGCTGAGGGTTACCCTGCGAACTCTACGCTCACGAGCAATGCAGACTCTACGCTCACAAGCAACGCAGACTTTACGCTCACCAGCGACACTGTTTCAGCGCTCTCAAGCCCCGCCGTCTCAGTGCACTCAAGCCCCGCCGTCTCAGCACACACAAGTGACACAGTTTCAGCACTCTCAAGTGACACAGTTTCAATGCTCGCTAGCCCACCGGCCACTACGCACTCTAGTTCATTGGGCATGGCACCGTCTGTCTCAGAAATAGTCACGTGCTCTCTGTCTTACCTGTGATGGCTACGGCCATTTTATTTGTTTGAGCCGCACACACCGCCACAGTTCCCGAGTTTAGCTCAGAGAGGGCTTCTGTTCCAGAGTTTAGCTCAGAGAGTGCTTCTGATCCCGAGTTTAGCCGAGAGAGGACTTATGATCCAAAGTTTAGAGCAGAAAGGGCTTCTGTTCCCGAGTTGAGCCCAAAAAGTGCTTCTGTTCCCAAGTTTAGCCCAGAAAGGGCTTCTGTTCCTGAGTTGAACCCAAAAAGGGCTTCTGTTCCCAAGATTGAATCTGGCACAACTACGTCACACGCACGTTGAGGAGACTACCCTTACAAATGAATCAGGAAAGGGCTTCTGTTCCCAAGATTAGCCCAGAGATGATTCCAGCCCCTGACCACAGCCCAATGTCTGTTTCCACCCCTATTTCAGTCTTGTGTCTGCCTAAGCCTCTGAAGAAAGCTCAGTGTTCACTCCAGCCCCTGACATTAGTCTAGTAATGGCTCTGACCCGACAGTAGTCTAATGATGACTTCAGCTCCTGAGTACAGTACAAAGATTGCTCTAATCCCTGAGCCTGCTCCAGTCCATGAGTCTGATCCAGGACCAGATCCAGTCTATGAATCTGCTCCAGAGTCCACTCTAGTCGCAGAGTCTGCTCCAGAATCAGTCCTATTCCCCGAATCCATTCCCGAACCTGCTATAGTTTCAGAATCCATTTACGAGCCTCCTCCAGTCCCCGAGTCTGCTCCAGAGCTCACTCCAGTCCTTGAATCTGTCCCACAGCCCGCTTCTGTCCCGGAGTGTGCTCCAGGTCCCCCTGAGGTGGCAACTTCCATTGCAGAACCTCCCATGGTGGTGATGTCCTCTCCAGCTCCTCCCGAGACAGCAGCAGCACTCTTCCTCGAGCACTAGGTATACTCAGTCACCTCTGATCCAACCATGGACACTATTTTTGAACTTCCCTGTTTCCTGATGCCTTTGTTATGGCCGCAAGTGCCATCTCTGAACTCTGTGTTTTTTAAAGCTCCTGTTGCTACTGCTGCAGAACCTCCAGAGGTGGCAGGAGTGTTCGCTTCAGCTCCTTTCAAGACAGGGGTGCCCATTTATGAACTCTTCGTCTGTCCTGACGAGGTCATTGAGACCATCAATGAATCCCCTGTCATACCCGTCTCGGCCAAAGAAGCTGTTCATGAACTCTCAGCCATGCTTGTTACGGAGACCGCTTCTGAATTCACTCAATGTTCTGTTCCGCCCAAGGAGGCTAACTGTGAACTCTTTGTTTGCCCTGCAACGACTAAGGAGGTCTGTAATTCTGAACTCTCAGATTACCCTGTCATGGCTAAGGAGGCCGTTTCCGAGCTCTTCGTCTGTCCTGTCATGGTTATAGAGGCTGTCTGTGAACTCTCTGGCTGTTCTGTCATGGTTATGGAGGTCATCTGTGAACTCTCTGACTGTCCTGTCATGGCTAAGAAGGCCGGTCCTGAACTCTCTGTTTGCCCTGTCACGGCCACGGAAGCTGTCTGTGAACTCTCTGACTGTCTTGTCATGGCCATGGAAGCCATCTGTGAACCCTCTGATTATCCTATTATGGTCTAGGAGGCTGTTTATGAACCCTCAGCCTGTCCTGTCCCGACCAAAGGGGTCGCCTTTGAACTCTCTGCCTGTCCTATCACGGTCAAAACGGCTGTCCCTGAACTCTCTGCTCACCCCGTTATGGCCAAAGATGCCATTTCTGAACTGTCTGCCCGTCCTGTTATGGCCGCAGAGGCCATTGTTAACCTCTCTGTGTTTTTTTGTTCCAGTCCTGCCTGATCCATCTTGGTGGTTCCCTGCATCATCAGCTCTGCTAAAATGGTCCTCAGCTCCACTGTGGGGATCTTCGGTCCCGTCTGCTCAGCTGTGGTACTCTTCAGCTCTGCTCTGGTGGTCTCCTGCTCTGCCCTGGCACCCAGCTCCGCCTGCTCCACCCTGGCTTCCAGCTCTGTCGGCTCCGCCCTGGCTTTCTGCTCTGCCAGCTCCACCCTGGCTTCCTGCTCCGTCTTGGCTCTCTACTCCGCCGGCTCTGCCTTGGCTCCCTGCTCCACCTCAGTCCCCTGGTTCCTCCCCTTCCTCATGGACCTGGCCCTCCATCCCTCCTCCTGTTCCGCCTCCGCTTCACCTCTCTCCTGGATTCTGGTCTGTTTAGGAGCATCTGGAAGCGGTCTCATATTAGGAGGACTATAAAGATTGCACTCACACATAGCTGTTTACTCTTAGCCTGTAACGTTTTCTGGTCTTCCGCGTTGCCTTGCCTTAGTGTTTTTGATCTTGGACTGTTATCTGTTTTGTGATTATTTGCTGCCTGCCCTGACCTCTGCCTGTTTGTTGGATTACTCTTTTGGATTGCCTTGGATTTAACTGTTTGTACCATAAATAAATAAATAAATAAACTATATACAAATACCAAAGAAAAAAATTTAATGTTTTTAAAGCTTATCTTCAAAAAGTAAACTAAAAACTAAATCTGGTCTCACTTCATTAAAAACATTTTCATAACAATCAATCAAAAAGTAAAGAGTCCTAGAGGAGATCAAGCCATCAAAATCCATCAAAATGCGCTTCAGAGAAACTGGACTCTGGCATGAGGGGCATAAAGGAGGGTCTTACTATTCTGATGCAGATTCATCACAATATAGGCAGATGCCAACATGGACAAGTTTCAAGTTTCATGACATGTATTCATCTTTAAAAACCAAACACAAAAATACACAAGGCAAAAGAAAATAAGATAATAATAATTGTATAAAATAATAATAATTGAGAATAAGCATGTCAATCAGAAAAAAAGCATTTTGCCAATAAATTATTGACTTAATAAAAATAATAAATACAAATTAAATTAAGAGTTTAAGGACATGATTTTGAGTTGGGTCCCCATTTGATGTCCAGTATAAAAGCTGAGATCTGAAGCAAACAGTTTCTCTCAGCATGTTGTAAAGATGTAGGCCTAACTGAACAGAAGGACTTCAATAGAATGAAACTCTCTGATCTGAGAAAAAAGGAAGTGTTTGATCAGAAATTCCCATAGTTTGACAGAAAAAAAAAACCTGTCGCATAATACTGGCTTTGTGACTTTTTGAAGAAAAGGGAAAAATGAATCACAAAATACAAAGGAATCCAGGTCTGCGGCATAAATCGGTTAATTTCCCAATAAAAATAAACCTCTTATCAGCACTACTTTTTAACAAGGTTTTTCAAAATATCAGTATAATAAAATTGAGCATAGTCCATATACTGGAATACAATTTTTGCATAAGCAGTGACTAAATATCACTGGGGTCACTAAAACTGAATGACAAAGATATACAGAAAAAAATAGAGTAGGGTAAGATGTGTCGGTGGGTAAAATGTGTCATTGTCTTAATCTAAGACATTGTGCATGATTTAAACTGCATATAAATCTAAATTTAAATGGAGAAAATGTTAATTTGGTCTTGTTGAGAAAATGTAAAGTGCAGTCTTTTTTTTCCTGAAAATCCACAATTCTACTAATCATGTATACTTTCGGTAACACTTTATTTTAAGGTATCCTTGTTACACGTTACATGTACATACTATTGTAATAACAATAAATTATGCATAATTACATGCAAGTAACCCTAAGCCAAACCCTAATCCTAACCCTAACCATATAGTAAGTACATGTAGTTAATTAATATTACTCAGTACTTAAATGTATTTGTATTTAAATGTAGTATTTACACTGGAACAAGGACACCTTAAAATAAAGTATAACCATACTTTCTTTTAATTTTAGATATATATATATATATATATATATATACAGTATATATGTATGAGAAATATAATATATGAGAAACCGCCATACAAGTGGATATTTAATATTTCAATCATTATAGACTAGGAGTAGGATTCTTTAGGCACCTCAGGATTTGGTCCAATTCCGATTCTGGGAATCACAATCCAATTCTAAAATGATTCTTAGTCTACATTACCTTGGGCTCTGTTTTGTTGGTCATGGTCTTCAGTAGTTCGTGGAGATGAGGCCAGTTGCCCTGAGAATACCAACCAGGCTTTTCCAGAGATGGTAGTCCTTCACTATCTTCAACATCATCCACTATTAAGACAGAGATGAGAAAGTGTGTTATATTTTAAAAACGATGAAAGAAATTAAACGTATATACATAATGAGCATAATAAAAAATACTGCTGTACAGTAATACTTAATACACTTGGCTTTTCCACAGTATGGATGGTTTTATAAATATGAAAATAATACAAATATTGGACATTTGTGCATATATATTTTGAAGACTAAGTTCTATGCCTGAGATCAGTCTACTACAAAAATAACCAACTGCAAAAACTATTACCCAGTCTCTGTTATCCATAGTGTTATACCTGTTTGTGAAAATGTGGCATGCTATTGGAGAATTTAGATTTAGACCATTTTAAGCATAATTAGTCCTGAGGAACTAATGGCATGAAATACCATTGCCAAAATAACCCCAAAACATCTGTACCACAACTTAAATTGTGAACAAATCAAAACAAAGGAAAATAAAAACCCTGGGCCTCATTTATAAAATGTGCGTACGCACAGATTTGATCTTAGAGTGTGCGTACGCTAAAATCCACGGCAACGTGCATATTTATAAAAACGGTCTTTGATGTGGAAAAGTACTTACCGCCACGTCAGGGTCTGAGCAGGCGTACGCACTTTTCCTTGTGGCAAAGTCAGAGTACTGCAGCTATTTGAACATCTAAGCGGCAATAATAATAAAAGCAGTGTATATACGTACAAGCACCGAATTCATCATAAACACGCAACATTTTATAAATGAGGCCCCCTGAGTGCAGCAGAAATGCAAGGTATTATACTGTATCAAAAGCATGACTTGGGTTAGGAACCGAGAACTGATTCTAATTTAGAACTGGCTCCATTAAAAGAAAAAAAAAAAATCACGCAGCCAAATTATTTTCATCAAGTTCAGTTGTTTGTGCGTCTTGAATGAGGGGAACTGCTTTAGCAGAAGTGTGCATTTGAAGTCTGAACTGACTGAATAATTATACAAAAACAAATAGCATAATCACATCATACAGCATAATTACTGCAGTGGATTTCAGAGTCATGGGAAATATCTCACCCAGCGTTCTGAAAGGTCTCTGCTGCGGAACCAAAGAGAAGAATCCAGGCTTCAGAGCATTAGTGATAATGATGTCAAACAGCTCCTCAAAGTCCGATCTGCAAAAATTATAAATTATTTGTAGGGAGATATTTGAAGGCCAAAATTCTCTGTATTGCCCCTATGCTAAATGCAAAATCATATACGTAGTATAGAGTGATGAGGAATATCTAGTTGTTGTGTATAATATTCAAACAAAACATCTTATTCACTAATAAAGCATAAATAAGACTTTGATTATATTATATTTTAAATGACTGGCAAAGTCTTGATTAATCTAAAAATGTTCCCATGTCAATATTTTCTTATTGATTTCTTTCTTTTGCGTATGGTGCTCACCCGAGTATGTGCTCACACACGAGCCGGCAGTAGTCAGAGTGTGAGCTGGTGATGAGCAGCAGGATTTTCCCGCTCTTCTTCATGCTCCTCAACCATCTCTTCACCGCATCTGAGCAGGGCTGCAGGTAACGGCCAGGACAGCGCTTCACACTGGGGAAATACGTCCCTGTGTCCTCTAAACAGGAAATATGTCCGAATAAAACACTGCATCAATCATTTCTTAATAAGGTTTCAAACACAGGGTCATTTGAAGGATTTCTTTTTTTTTATTGTCAGAAAATTATGGATATGTTAATTCAACACATGTATACACCTTATTCAGTAGAAGAAACTGAAATAACTTTAGGCATGACACAGTATTACTTAATAGGGTAATATTTCTATAATTAGTTTAAACACAAAAAATACAATTATTCCATGGTCTGTCTGAATACTGGTTTCTGATTGGCTGGCAGGTATGCAGTAAAACCGTTTAATGCACAGGTAGTTCCAAGTCAGTTTAATCACCGTTCCATATTAAAGCAGCGCATTATGTGATGCACACTAACCAACACGCATCACTCGCGCACACGCACACACACACACACACAGACACACACACACACACACACACACACACACACACAGAGAGAGAGAGAGAGAGAGAGAGAGAGAGAGAGATCGCTGATTGCGCTGCACACACACACATAAACTTGTTGTTTCATGAATAAAATAGCCTAGATACTAGATCGCTACATTATATTTTGTGTTTTTGAAGTAATTGTTTGTACAGAGAGACATGCAGACGCAGCAAACAGGTACACACAACTGTCATCTCTCTCTCTCAAACGATCGATCGAAAATTAATTGAAATACATGCTATAACTGCACTATTTCATCTCTGTGTCTGATTTGAAGCGGGCAGAATGCTAGCGCTGAGTAACTGACGAAAATAACTGTCATTTTTACCCATTCGGTCAAATATTGCGCTGCAAATAGCAATACGAGTTTTAATTTGTCTATAACTTGGCAAATGACCATGGAATAAGCGGGATAATCAACAGCTAGCCGTGCATTAAAGGATTTTAA